CAGAAACACGCGGCATGCAGTGCTACAACCAGATGCCACCAGCGCCATGCAATGACAAGTCGACAGATGGGACGCCAGATCTGCATGTCAAGCCAAACGTAACAAGCTCTAGGTTCCTACTCCGCGCCTATGAGGCTCTTGGGAAGGAAAGCCCATACGGTACCCACAACCGACAACACCGTCGAGATGGTCATGAGAACGTAACACAGTAACCTCTCCCTGGCTGAGATCTCCTTGTCGAATAATTTGACGTAGAAAGCCAGAGGCAAGCTTTGAAGTGTCAGAGAAAGGGCTGGCTGAAGATGAATAAACACGAAGCTCCACTTACAGCACACAGATCGTGAAGCACAAAGCACTGCCCATGAATGCCATTATGCTGTCAAAGGCCGGGAATACGATGGAGATGACCAGGAAGACGAAGATAGTGACAACTCGGACGGCAATCTTCATCACCCCACGGAATGTCGCCGACCGACCTACCATGGCCTGGTTGTCAGAGACGGCCTGCTGGTGGATGCCCGTCAATACCTCTAGAGTAGAGATGATGGGTCGCGCGTTGAGCGGAATCTTGGTAAGAGGGATAATGGCGATGAACATGCATAGCAAGAAGTTGAGGGCACGAGGATACCCGCTGGTTTGGAGGATGTTCGCAGTGATTTCGTCCATGACATTGTCGCCGTACATGAGGAGACCAACCACGGCCGTGAAGGCGTCCAGGAGGTACTAGTAATTCGGCGGTCAGTTCTTGTGCAGGACCGGAGACGATCAAAGGATACATTACTTACCACAGACGAGAAGACCGTCTTGACAGCCCTGGGATATTTGTGAGGATGGCGCATATCTCTGTAAATCTGTGACCTCGACGTTAGATTGCTGCTACCAAACTGGAGATTAGCATAGACTCACGTTGGGAAACACGCTGTGACCGCCCCAAGGGCTCATGAGCAGGCCAAAACTCAGGGGTAAGGTGCCCCAGTTCGCCGGAAAAAGATACGTCGTAGCAGGTTCAATCAGAGAGCCAGGTGTATTTGGCTTGATGAGTCCGTCAACGACCAGGATCAATACGACTGCAGCAAGTTAATCGAGCAGCTCTTGCACGATAAGGAGGGGAAAAAGCGTCACTTACTACTGAAACAGCACAGAATGCCAATCACGCTGGTGAAACTAAGCAGTCTCAAAGGCAGGAAGTTGAGAGGGATCATGACCACGGAGCAGATAATCTTCCACATATTTACGCTCAAGAAACCCGGGAACAGGAGAACCAGAGAGTCGGCGAACAGCACAATGAGGGCCACACATGCAGCTAGCAACTCCATGGTGAACAAAATACTCGTAGCAATACGGGCATTGCGACCGTACGAGATGTAGGCTAGATCAGAGAATGTGATCAAGCTGGCATCCAGATCCATGCACTTGGCGAGGAGTTTCGCGGTGTAGGCCGTCACGGCAGCGGAGCCCGCCAGAACGACCATGCCGCAAATCCAACCAGCATACTTGATACCCATGGGGAGACTCAGGAGACCGACCCCAATGAGAACGCTGCGCTGAACGTTAGACCTTGTCTTGCTGACTTTCAACACCGAGGATTCTCTTACTTGATCGAGTTGAAGATGGTCTGAGGTAGCGTAGACTGACCCTCCACAGTGAGGACAATCTTGCCATCCTGCTCAACCTCCTTTACCAAGATTTGAGGGTGTTCACCATCGGGCACATTTCCACCCTCTTGCTGTTGCTGGCGCCACAGCTCGCCGGCCTGAGCCATTGACGGCGCGTCAACGTCGGATATCGTGCCATAGGTCCGGTACGACCCATAACTCCCGAACAGAGGCGGTGTTGCCAGATGAGGAGCAACTGCAAAAATTGACTGCGACGGCCGGCGGCCGCTGCCAAAGCTCGACCCGTAGACAGCCCCCGACATGTCAGCATCGACAGCTTTGTGCTCCCTGTCGCGGAAATCGGCTGGAGAAGATTCGTCGACGACGACAGACGCGGAAGAGTCATTGTCGTGAGAAGAGCCGGCTCCATTTTCGGGAGTGGCTTCTAGATGCTGTCTCAATAGCGAGGTTCTCGGGTGGGACTCGGGCTCGACAAGGCTACGGGAATAGTCGAGAGCTTCTGCTGACGAGGAGGCAATCGGTGCCTGGTCGGGTGCGAAGACGAAGGAGGGCCTCTGGGGAATGACTTCGGCAAAGCCAGCCGCACGCGCCCAACTGCGGGTGAAGGAGCGAATACTGTTGACGCCGCCAATATCGGTGATGGCGGCGAGGTGTCGCGTTACAGATGACCTTGAAGCGGGGAGTTAGCGGGGAAGGCAGCACGAGATTAAACATACCATCCGGCAGCGAACGACGAAGATGCTCCCAAATAATAAAGATGATGAATAAAAGAAACTTACCTTCGACGACGCAGGCCGTGGTGACCCCCTCCGTAGGCATTCTCCTCATCGTCGCCAAGAAGCGACTGGTCTTCAGTGACAGCGTTGGAGTCGATACTCACGGAGCGCTGGGGAGAAGCACCCCGTTCGTACTCGTCCCACGTCGATGGGTTCCGGGAGGACATGGAGAGCCGTCGTCAGGTGCAAGACAACGCAACAGGCGCGAACTTGGATTCTCTGAAGGATTGGCACCGATGAGGACGCGAAGACGGGAGAGGCGCGCAGAGAAGAAACGAGACCTTTCTTCAGGCGCGATTCGGGGGGGTTTTTTTTTTTCTTCGCCAGCGCGGACGTTCAGACGTGTATATAGCACACTAGGACGACGCACTGCCTTTGCCTTGGCTACACAATGGGCACAAGCGTGTATCGATAGCTCGCAAATCTGCCTTCCACCACCCCTGGCGGTCCAAGTGGAGACGAGTCGCGGGAGATTGAGATGGTGCTAGTGTAGTGGGCGTTCGGAGCCAGGTTGTCGCAAGTAACGGATGATGTTCCAACTGGCTGCTCCACGTCGAGTGGATGAGGGGCGGACTACAGAGGTAACAGTTGAGGTTACGTCGCGTGGTGAGGAGACGGGATGCCCGAAGTCTCGATTTTGAAGGAGTTTCTTGCGTGTTTAGCCTCGTCGGGTCCCTAGGAAGAGGGGGAAAGGTCGGTCGAGGAAGGCAAAAGAAGGCCGAAATAGGGTTGCGCAGAAGTCGAGAGAATCGACAAAAAACTTATCCATGCTCGGTGCCAAGCGATTCCGAGGGTGGGAGAGCGAAGACCCCGGGACAACCCAGGAAGTCGATGGATTTCTTGCCAAGTCTGTGTGCTGAGAAGGCGGGATGGGGAGAAGCTGCAGCTATAACAAAATCGAATCGGATGGACCACGGTGCAATGCCCGTCCGTGGGTAGTCGTGCCATGTGGTGGTGTTTCTTGGTATGATGCGCTCTGGACTACATGGGAAGATTAGGTTCAGTTCTTTGTGCTTCTCTGATCATTGGACCGTGCCGAATCTCCCATTATCTTGTGCCTGTTCCGCTACTATCGACCTATCTCCCAAGGGGAGGGGACGATGATGTCTCGCAGATCAAGATCATTACGTTACGGAATCGAACCAACCTGTGGAGGTGGGCAGCATACTGAGGCATCGCAGTATCTGGAACGTCAGCTGGTATCTTGGTTTTTATTTTATTTTTATTTTTTATGACGCGGGTTGCAACGTCAAAAGTTGGCTGTCTTATCGCGCCAACTCCTCTGGTTGGACAATGCCCTCCGTCAGCTTTGCGACGTGCAGGGCCATTGCAGGCTTTTTGCAGGGCCTCTCGAGCGGAAGGTAGAACTCACCCCAGCTCCACCTCTCTAGCTGCATGCCTACCCTCTAGGGCACCTTGCCTTCCTAGGTAGTCTGCCGCACCACCGTTGCCTCGACCTCAGCGGCCGGCTGTTCCTCTGTCCACCCGCCTGATGCATCATTGCCATTGCTTGCTTTTGTCACTTGACTCGGCCTTTCCACTTTTGCCCCCCTCCCCCGGAGGCTGTAGGTACTGTGGACACTGCTTGGACATGATGTGGCGCTGTGCTGGCTCACGGTGCGGACCCTTAGCGCCAGCACTTCAGTTTCCACTGATACCTCGGGTAAAAGCAAGAGGGAACTTCCTCGTACTTTACCACTCACCGCTACTTGCATAAGCACTCCCACCTGACATGCATGCCATCCGATGACTGAGACATGTTCATGCAGTCAGTGGCCATTTGATGCCATCGCCGACTCGAAAGTCTCTCCCAACTCTGGCTGAGGACGTCGCCTTGATCAACTCTTCCCTCAAGTAGCTAGAGACTGAGGGATTATTCTGTAGCTTCTGATCATCACGGACGGTCAGTCGCGCTACTCTCCGCCTGTAAAGCTTACTTCCATCTGCTGCGAATGGCTCGAGCCTCTCTGACTGGGCGAATGTTAAGCGTCGTTGTCGTTGTAGCAGCCCAGATATGTCGCAACTTGAACTCCATGACGCGAAATCGATCTTCAGAGACCGTCTTTCTCAACCGCGGGCGGCCCCGTCGCACGGTCCTCACTTTCAAACCACCGCTTCTTGCCTGTCCATAACTTACTAACTCGAATCCCATTTTGGTGCGTGGAATACATCCGGTGAGTTAGCCTTGATGACGAGCTCAAGGCGATGCGTCTTTGGGAAAAGCACCATATTAGGGAAAAGCGGGCAGGAAGTTGCAGCATCCAAGGACTACAGTGAAAGACAATTCATACATGCGGCTCTCAACGTACATTAGCTGACTGGGGGGTTTTCAGAGATTGACTACCATGCAAGAAAACTTGGGCTTTCCACAATTCAACCCGGGAGGTCCCTTACCAACCCAAACCCACACCTGACTGACGCAAACCAACTATGTCTTCTTGAGCCCCTGTCCAATAGCTTGGGTACGTACGGCTGCACGGACGCTGTCAGTTCAGCTCGCCCATCGGCTTTTCGCAGCCACCAAAGACGGATAGAATTTTGTGCAAAAACGTGAAGAAAGAAACACGCTCGCTGCGCGAAGATTGACGTTGTACTAAACGGCACCGTCATGGACACATCATCTACCGGTGGCAAATCCGACGAACTCATCACAGGAGCCCTGATCCCGGTCCTGCACATCCTCGACAGCTTCAACCATCGCAACAAGAATCAGCATCACGTCGCTCGCTGGTGGATCCAGTTCGACCTCTTGCGTCGCGCCGTCAAGCGACTCCATGACGCTCTCGTCCTTCGCATCCAACATGCCCAGGCCCAGGGTCACAGGATGCAGAAGCAAAAAACTTCCAAGCACAAACATGATCTAGACGGAGACGTCTCCACCAGAGTAGAAACACTGATTGACCAAATCATACCATCATCATTCTTGTAAGCTAATGCGCCTCCGCCCTCGTTTGCTCGAAACTAATAAGTACCAGAGCCTTCACGCAACTTACAGCGGACAATCAACACGCTGCCTTGGGCTTGGTCCTCCTTGGTGTTTTGGCCAGCATAAACTCTGCAGTCGCGTCTTTAGTCCCCGATTGCGTTGAAGAGGGTCGCCACGAGCCGCCTGCCGCGTTGTCAGCAGCCCAGCCGACAGCCGCGTTGGCCAAAGACACGAAGGCAGCATCTGGTCCTGTAGATTTTGGCATAGCCATTTCCCGAGATCAGCTCCAGTTGGCTACAAAGCCCCAGTCTACCCTAAGGCCGGGAGGAAAGGAGGCTGCGAAGGAGAAAAAGCGCAAGGTGGTTTCGCCGGTAGAGAATGCTGGCCCCATGAGATCTTTAAAGGACAAAAAAATTGAGAAAAAGCCAAAGAAGAAATCGAAAAAGGGGGATGAATTCTCGGACTTGTTCAGTTCACTCATGTAATTCCTGTCCCTTGCTACAAGAATCAATACTCAAATCTTCAATTCTGTCATTAGCGACGGCTAGTTGCTGCGAGATTCCGACGTATCACTACCCATGCGCCCTTACCGTCCTATTTGTCTTTGACTGAGTTTATCCCAAGACACTGGTAGGGACAATTTCCGCCTCAGATCCTTGACTAAGAACCACATCCACTACAACGGCTATTGGTATACATATTCGTCCGACAAACCTCCATCTCTCATGTCTTCACTCGCCGTCCAGCTGTTTACTGAACGCTGCGGTAAGACCAGATACGCGCCCGCATGTCACCCGAGCCAGTAGCGAAGTAGCCACCAGTTGGGCTAGGCGCAACTGAAATGACCGAGTTCTTGTGGCCCTGGAGCATGAGTTGGGTAGCTCCCGTACGTGGATCCCAGAATTGCACACCACGGTCCTTGGAACCAGACATGACCCAAGCAGCGTCAGGAGTAAGAGCAACAGAAAGGACGAAGTCCTGAAATTGTTAGCTAGAGCACGATGCAAAGGACATGTGATAGTGGTACTCACTCTGTGACCCTCGAAGGTCTTGACGCACCGTCCGCCCTTGGGACCAGGGTTCGGCAAACCACGGGGGGTGCTGAGCTCCCACATCTTGATCGTCTTGTCGAGACTACCGCTGACGAGGTCTCTGCCATTGGGAGAGAATGCTACGCTGTAGACACTATCCTTGTGTCCATCAGGGCCCTCCAGGCGCTCAAGCAGGTAGCCCTGGTGAATGTCCCAGACGCGAACGCTCTTGTCGAGTGAGCCAGCAGCGACGTATTTGGTGTCGGGAGAGATGGCAACAGTGGTGACACCGTCCTCAATAGTGAGGGTGAGAGTGTTGGTGCCTTGCTCGATATCCCACAGACGGACGGTTCTGTCTCCACTGCCGGATGCGATCGTGCGGCCATCGCGCGCGAAGTCTAGGGAGTAAATATCTTGCTCATGGCCAGAGAAGGTGTTGCGAATCTGTCGGGATTGAATGTCCCAAACCTACGAGAGGTTGTCAGCTTCAAGAAAGACATTTAATGGCCGCCACACTCAATCGACTTACTCTGATCAACTTGTCCTCGGCTCCGGTGGCAAGATACTTGCCGTCTGGGCTGAAGCAGACGCTCCTGATGTATAGATCGCCGGTGATATCAACGCTGTCGTCCTGGAGGACACATAACTTTTCTCCAGTCTGAACGTCGTAGATCTGGGCGGATCGGTTGCATCCGGTGGCCACGTATTTACCGTCGTGACTGAAGCGCACGCAGCAAACAACAGACTCATGGCCCAGAGTGTGGACCAGGTCAACGTCCAACATACGAGGAACATGCTGGTTGAAGATTACGAACCAGTCGTGACCCGATTTCTTGGAGTGAGGGGGCAGGCGATCCGGGTCAAGATCACCCAGGGCGTTTCCCACCGGGGGAGCATGAGGGCCCCCCATGCGGGCGTGATCAGGCGTCGGATGGCTGACCTGAGGCGACTGGGTCGCGGCTGGGAAAGGGATTGGGGTGTTGATCTGGGGAGTAGCGGGCCCAACGGCGGCAGGAGGTCTGCCGATACCCCGTCTGCCGGGACCCGGAGATGCGGTGCTCTGGGGAGGCTGAGATGCAAGACCGTTGGATACGGGGCCTTGGGGAGGATATTGCTGGAAAGGAGGCTGCTGCGACTGCGGAGGAGGGGGAGGGGGCGGGACGGGGAGTCCTGGAGGGCCCTGGGCCATCTGGTGCTGCGGGCCCATCTGCTGGTCCTGGGGCGGAGGAGGGGGAGGAGGGGCCAACTGGCCCTGACCGCCGCCGGTCATGATGCCGTTGAAAAGACCGTTGCCGGGGGCAATGGAAGGAGGCTGTTGCGACGGGCCGGCATGGGGAGGAGGCCCGCCGATGCTGGGAGGCGCGTTTCCACGAGCTCCCTCGAGCTGGCGGCGGAGCATCGCGATTTCTTCCTCATATCTGTTGGGAACTCGATGGTAAGTATTCTGTAGGCTTACGCCTGGAATGGTGGCATCGAGTGACGTACTTTTGCTTCAGGTTCATCTGGGCTTGCTCCATCGCGTACACCTTTTCCCTCACAAGCTGCATCTCTTGAACCTGGGCCTGGACTATAAACACAGTTAGTGTGCTAGCGTTGATGGAGGCGTCGGGCGCGTCTCTCACTTTGATGCTCATAGCCCTCGGTGGTGCGCATCTGCGAATCGAACTCGGTCCTGATCTGTTCGAGCAGCTCGTTGAGGCGGGCAGAGTTGTTGGGGGGCACCGCGCCCATGGCGCGATGCGGATACATGGACATGGCTGCGATTGTTGTTTAGAATACGTCTCGATGAAAACGGCGTATATATTTGTCGGCCGGGCGAAGGTCGGCGATGTTTGATGTCAGGTGTGGATGCTGTTGAAGATGAAAGCTAGCAACCGGCGATCGGGCGTCGACGAAGAAGATGATCAGTCTGGTGACGATATGTGGTACTTGGTGGTCGAAGCTCGGAAAATTTGGGCGTCGCCGCAATGGGCCCCCTTCTGCGTTGCGGGTGCAGGAGAAAAGGCGCGTTACCTAAGGCAAGGTCTTGGGGGGGTTTTCTGGCTGCCAGCGACAGCAACAGCAAGAGGCGGCAAAGCCGTCCAGTCAGGGAGACGCAAGTGGATGCGCGATGCCAATACGGACACCAATGCCTTCAGGAGAGGCGCGTGCTGAAAGGGATGTTGATGATGATCGATTGAGGATGCCGATGATGCAGCGCGCGCGCGTCGAGGTTGTCACGGCGGAGACGGGAAAAAAGAGAGAAGGAGAAGAAAAAGTGCAGGTTAGGCAAGGAGGAAGGAAAGAGAGGACCTGAAGAGGCTGGCGAGTGGAAAGAGGAGACAGCCCAGGCCAGGTGAGGTGTGCGTGTGTGTGTGTGTCCAATGTGAGCGCGTATGTGTGTGTGTGTGTGTGTGTCCCGGCTAGGCGCACAGGCAAAGAACAAGAGGCAGAGACCACACTACACTGGGTCAGAGACGGGGAGCCGCCTGCCCTGGCCCCTGGGGGAGGAACTGCTCTGTGCCCGCTTGAGGTGGGACCAGGCGCACGCCAAGGTACCTTACGAAGTAGCCGGCGGAGCGACTCTACATCACATGCGGGTCGACAGGTACATGCAGAAAGACTTGCTGAGGGTGCCTTATTTGGTGTGGGCTGAAGTCAAGCCACTAGCGTCGATTCTGGTACCGGCAGGGGCAATGGAGCTCCTGGTAAAGAGTACCTACGGGGAGACGGATACCCTGCCAAAGCATCAGGTCTGTGCGGCTGGTTGTTTTTGGGGGTGAGCTGGCTCGAGACGTGGGTCCGTACCGTCCACTCCCATGTGGCGCTTGATTTCCTTCCAGAGGGAAGTTTCAATCTGGGTGGTGCGTGGGTACGTGGGTACCCAGCCAGCGGCGACTCAGGGTTGCGGCAGGACACCGACCGGGGCAGGGGCAAGGGCGGCTCAGCTCCACTTGGTGTTAGTGCTCGGAGTGGGGCGTTGTAGTGGGGTGCAACTCTCCATACCTAGGTGGTATATCTTACCTATCCGTAGGTACTTGCATCGCATGTAGGTCAGCCTAGTAAGGTGGGTAGGTAGGTAGGTAGGTACCTTAGTATACATGTCTCCGCCATTCGTCTAAGGCACCTAGGTAAGTACTATGGTGTTATGGGTAAGTATTAGCCCAAGCCACGTATCGTGGGGACTGACGGTCCCACGGGAAGCTCTGGAATAACTGCTGAGTGGCCGGTCTTTCGCCTGCGATCGATGTACCGCACCTGGTCTGCTTGAGCCACAGCTACCTGTACAAGGGCTAAAACTTTGGCCTGATACCGCAGTAGAGAATGGAGGCGTACCTTAGCTGCCATGACGGCCCATGTCACGGCTTTCGTCCTGTCACTTTACATAGATACCTAAAGTAGCTATGTAAAGGCAACTCACCTAACCTCTCAATCGCAGCTTTTGGCGCCTCTCCCCCGCGCAGCCTTGCAACACCTGGCAACTTGCGAGCGAGGAAGATTTGACTCATCTGAGTACTGGTGTGTGACGGCCGACTGGGCGCGTTTCTTTCTGGATGGCATTATGTCTTTGTCTCCCTGTGCAAACCATGTCCAACTTTGAAGAGAATTCCCCAGCTTGGCTCTCGCCGAAGCCGAATGGCCGAGTATACTGAGAGATCTTATGTGAAGTTCGGCCACCACCCGCCGATTTGTCGAAAGATCTTTGACAAGTAGATGGTGGCTCGTCTGCAGTTGGGAGCGCTCTGCAAGTGGGCTCCATGACCTCCAGCCGCGGGACGTAGCCCGACGTTAGGTTAGCACGTTATCGTGGACAAATGTCGCGATGAGATGGGCATAACATGAGCACGTTGCTAATCAAGGACGACGACAACCAACGCAATGCTGATCAGTGCAAGAGTCGATAACGGGCGGTACGACTGCATGTATTCCACGTTCGCGACTCATCCAGCAGAAATATCCGCAAATTCGGGATAGCAGCGAAGGGAATCGGAAGGTATGGGACGAGATGGGACGGTGATATGGGATGGTACGGGAAGGCATTGGGCATGATGGCCAGTCAGGGTTCGCTGTTGCGGAAAAGGCAAAAAGGGCAATCATCGTGAGATGCAGCGGTGCAGCCTGCAGTTGCGCCGTGGCACTCAAGTATGGTGGCACACGGCGCAAGTACAGGGGTGGGTGTGAGAGGGTGTGGCCACTGGCGTGCGGGTGACGGAGAGCTCGCAGCCAGCTGGGCGTGGGCACGCAGTCAGCACGTCGGGGCGTGCAGATTGGGGGAGGGGGTTTGGGGACACTGGAGATATTCCATTTGGTGAGGTGAGACCAGCTAAGCTTGAGGCGAAAGTAAGGGCGGATCGAGACCTAGGGTTGGCTGGGTTGGATTGGGGGGGTATGAAAGGGTAAGGGTAAATAAATGTGCTAAGATGGTTAAGGGGAGGGGAGTTCAACCGTCTTGGACATGGTCAGGGTCAGGGTCA